CCCGTTGCGAATCCCCCGCGATTGGTGGAAACTAATCGCGGGAGATTTGAAGCGGTGTCATTGGCCGCGGCCGCCGCGGCTCGGGAATAAAAAGCCGCAGTTTTCCCCTTCAAGCTTAAGCTGTATCCGGAGCCAATAAAGAGCTGAAACTAAGTCACTGACTCCGAGCTTCCTTTCCGCGACGGACACGACAGATGGAAGAGAATAATTATTCAAGGTTGAAAAGATATTTAGGAAAGAATAATAAAATCAATGTTAGAGATAACTTTTGACACTGTGCTTATTCTGAAAAACAGAAGTAAATGCTGAATCAATGGGTGTTGACTTTAGGAAAGTAAAAGGTCAAGGGTAAGATGAAGAAAAGAAAAATATACAATAGAGACTGTACAAAGCAAAAGCCAGGGTTAATTATTACTTATATAGAATAAGCAGATGACAGATGCAACCATGTGATCAAAACTTTATCTTTCTCCTTTCCTGTCACATGGCAAAGCATGAGATCCTCACCCATAGCCATCATGTAATCCCATCGATCTTGATCACAGATGTAAAACTGGAGGCCCCTAGGAGTCTGGGAATGGACTACCAACGGTATGTTTTTCTCAATATTCTCTAGCATCCCAACTGTCCATGCAGCCAAAAACCAAAGGACCAACAGCAGAATCAATGCCAGTTTCTTGAGCACTCGCCCACTGGTCATGTAAGGGACTCGCTGAGCCGTGTGAGACAGAAAGACCTTTAATACCCTGTGGGACAAGAAAACAAAAATGACCTGATTTAAAAAAGAACCATCCTCATTGTTTTATTTGCAAAATGAGAATGGTTTACAGTGTTCATGAATTGGAGGACGTATGCAATCAAACATCTCTAAATAGTTTCTGCAATGAATTGCTACCAGTTGCTGGTTTAGTTACTGAAAGTTGGCTTTAATTGTCAACAATTAATAAAGGATTTTATTTTATTTTATTTCCTTTTTTCACCCCACCAATTGTTCTTTAATTTTGGCTCTTCATTTTTCTTTGAAATAGTCTTTTGATTAACCAATTGTTCTTTAATTTTGGCTCCATTTTTCTTTGAAATAGTCTTTTGATTTTAGACACTACTGTGAATTCTTCTAATGGAAAAGAAAATTTATAAACAAAATAAAAATAAACACAGAAAACAAACCTAAGATGGGCACTAAGAGCTTAAAGACTGTATTAAGTTAACATTTAATCATGTTGGATTTCATTCATTCAAGTTGCAAAACTTGAGAGAGAAAAAAATGGGTCCTGATTGGGATGTATATGCATTTTTACTTGAATTAATAATTTCCTCTTCAGAGGAAATTACAGTTCCCAGAAGGCCCTGGAAAAGATGGTTAAAAGAAAGTCAAAATAGTATCAAATCAGGGTAAGCTCTTAATATAATTTATCTGTGAAGTTTTTCTGGCACTTCTCTAACCAATGTAGAGCCAGTGTCCTGGATTAAATGGATCACTGGATTTAGAGGGATTGAACAAAAGAGAGATTCAGCTGCCAGTATTCATTCTAAACACAGACTTAAGAAAATAAGTCCAAGGTTCAATCCTTTTATTTCATCCAACTTCATGCAAACACCTCACCTATAAAGTTTAAGGGTGATTGTTCCATAAACAATGGCAAAACCCAGCATGCGCACCCATCGCAGGACAATGCAGCGGAAGATACTTGGCTTGAAGTACAATATAAAAACCTGCATGAGAAGGAAAGGCAAACATAGTGATGGGTAGACCATGTTTCTTTTCTCAGAATTGGGGAAAGAAAGAAAAGGGAAACTTAAATTTAGTCTTGGGTCCGAATTAGACTGCCTTTGCACAATATTCTAGATTAATTGACCATGACTGATTAAATAAATTCAGTTCTTTGAGTTTGCACTGAACTATATAGACTAAAGTAAAATATAAACCAAGCCTCACAACTCAGCTTTCTATCCTTGAGCTATTGATTAATCAGACATCTCAGGGCTATCACACAAAGCAGATTATTCTAATTAACCTCATTTTTTTCATAACTGTAATGTTTATGAACATTAATATTTGTATTTTTCATAGTTTATAATCATCAGTCTATACTTGCATGTTTGCATGGTTCTGCAGCACTTTTTTTGGAGGGGTGGGGTCGTTCAGGTCATAGGTGCCTCCTGGACTAGTCTCTTCAGTTTTCCTTGCAATATTTTTCCAAAGTGGCTGCCATTACCTCCTTTCTAGGGCTGAGAGGAATGTCGGTCCAAGTTCACTCAGCTGGCTTTGTGTCTAAAGCAAAACTAAAACTCACGATCTCCCAATTTCAAGCTGAGTGCCTTAGCAATTACACCAAACTGGCACTCAGCCCTGCATTCCTATGCTAAAAAGATAGTTTGAGAAATGCAGTAGTTTCCCCAATCTTTTTTTAGACTGCTTCAAAATGCTTCTCAATGTTATGGGGTTTCCCTTTTTCTCTCATCAGACTCTTGCTCTACTCTCAGAGGCTGCCATTTCAAGCACACTTTTTTTTTTTTTTTTGCCTCTGTTTGCACAGCCTAAATTGCTTGTTCAACCCCTTTTTCATTCTCCTTCCTGTAAGCCAGGGCACTGAAAATTAGTTTTCTTTCCCAGTAGTAACCCACACTGAGACGGTGAAGCAGGCTATGTTCATTTTTCTTGATGGCCCAGTACTGTTCATGTACCTCAGATAAATGAACCCCTTTGGATCCAATTCAGATACTCACAGGAAAATAAAGCAGGAGTGAGCCAAAGAGTATTGTCTCCAGAAGAATAACCCCTGAAGCCCGAATCCTCTGGGAAAAGAGAAATGAATATGAAATGTTGGTGCTTTGAAATCAAGATTGGTGATTCTAAGGTGGTGCAAAATTTCAACATTTGCAAAAAAAATAATGTCAAGTAAGAGAGCAGGACAGCTATTTTATAAACTCAGTTTGTGTTCTACTGCTCACCGTACCTTGCTCTTTCTATAATGGTAAGAAACCAACATGTTGAAGAAAACTGTCAGCATACAGAAGGCCTGGAAAGCAAGAACAATAGCCCGTAGTGACCAATCTTCCTGGATCAGACATGGTTTGCCATCAATGCAGGCCGTGCATCCTTCCCGACAGGGATGGCATTGCAGCAAACTCCCAGAATCTACTGCTCCATTTTGGGAAGCACTTTGTCCTTAAGGTGGGAAAAAGTGTAGAAAAACAATGTGTTAAAATAGTTGATAACTATTACTGATCACCATCCTGAATGTTCCTCTATATTCATATTTAAGGAGAAGGCATTCCATCTTAAAGGTTTTGAGTAGACATCTGCTCTCTTGGTCATTTAGATATAATGTTGTCCAGTTCAAAATGTACATATACAAAAATTTAATTCATGTTTAATATTGGGTAATGGGCTTCAGTAGGCAAGAAGCAGACCAGCATAGCTGCAACAGCATTTATTGACTCAAACTGGAACTAAGGAACAGCAGGCAAATGCCTGCAATTTATACTCGGAGCCCACAGGGCCTTAACCAATCATAATACTTAAAAAGCCCACCCAAATATGAATGTTCTAAATTTTCCTCCAAAACAATTGGAGTTAACAATTAGGGTCATCTAAAGATGAGTTTCACTTTAGCAGAGCTTAACACAATTTTATGTATTCAATAAACACATAAATAAATAAATAACTTCTCCCCTCTAGGATAGTTCTTATCCTCAGTCTGCTTAATATTCATAGTCTTTGAGATAGACTGGGGGCTCATGGATCCTTGTGGACCACCACAATGTTACTGGGGAGTCCTGTTTAAGTGGAGTATTATCCATCTCCAATTGGACAGAATATTGGTGGCCATTTTGGTCACCCCTGAGTGGCGGCACTTCTATGGCCCTTGGTACCTCCATTTTTTGGAGGCAGCCACATGTGGTGTAAGCAAACTCAGAGGAAAACAGTTTTCTCATGGGTCTGATAAAACCTTGGAATCCTCACCTGGGACTGGACTGGCCCGCCAACACCGTAAGTGGTCAATGTGGTGTCTGATTGTATGATCGCTCCCCAGAGTAATCTCATATGACAAAGGGCCCATTACCTTTGTTACTGTCAACTCATAAAATATTGGGGTAACTGCTGGAATCCTGGCAGCTACCCTATCTTTCACCCAAGGGTCCCCATTCCCATAGTATCTGGCCCAGACCAAGTGACCTGGTTCCTGGGGGGATTTGGCTGAGCCGTCTCCACCACTACTCTGTCTGGGTGAAGTTGGTCAAGCTTTGTGGCAAGTCAGCGGCCCCACTTTAGCTCTGCTAGGCTGCGACCTGTTGCTGTACTGGGAGTCATGTGTTGACACAGGAGGAAGTTCGCCAGGGAGTGATTCCAGTCTACAGTTATCATCCGCTTGAGTGCTTCCTTTGTGGTCCTGACCATTCACTCAGCCTGACCGTTGGTCACAGGGTGGAATGGAGCAGATGTTACATGCTGAATCATGTTGGTGTTAAGGAAATATTGAAACTGTGCCCATTGTCGGACATGATCACATCTGGCAGACCATATGTGGTAAACAGCTGGCACAACTCCCAGATGACTCTGGTCATTGTCATCGATGAGACAGGTGCCACTTCCAACCACTTGAACTAACTGTCCACTATATCAGGAACACCTGCCCCTGGAAAGGGCCCACAAAGTCAATGTGCACGCAAGACCATGGGGCATGTGTGATCTCCCAGTGGTGCACTGGTCCTTGTGATATCTCTGGTCAGGTTTCTTGGCAGGCCTGACAACTCCTTAATTGATTCTCAGAGTCTTTGTCCAGGCCTGTCCATCACAAGTAGCTCCTGACTAGAGCCTTCATCTGAACAATTCCTGGGTGCCCCTCGTGTCCAGGATCTTGGAGCAAAGACTGGGTGGAATGATGACCCTGCTGCCCCATAGCACACATCTCTTGTGGGCTGACAGTTCATTTTTCCGAAAAGTGTAGTGCTGGAACTCAGGACCTGTTTGGGCCTCTGGCCATCCCCTTAACACCCAGTTGAGAATGTGGCTAAGTGTTCTGTCTATGGTGGTTTCAGCTGCTACATCTCCTGCATGTAGGGGTGCTTTAGGCAGGTCCTTGATTGCCAGAATATGACAAGATAGGGCTGGATCCGGCTCATTCTGCAGTAGAGGCAGTTGGCTGAGAGTTTTGGCATGGCCCATTTCCTTGCCCAGCTTGTGGACTAGCCGGTACGACTATGCAGCCATGAAAATGGACTATCGTAGCTTTCATGGTGACAGGATCTACGGTGTCTGTCATTGTGAAGGGTTTGTGGTCTGTAAAGATGGGGAAGGTTTGTCCATATAAGAAGTCATGGAACTTCTTAATGCCAGCCAGTATGGTGAGGGCTTCCTTGTCTATCTGGGCTTAGTTCCTTTCAGCAGATGATAAAGTTCTAGAATAGTATGTGATGGGGGCCTCTCTACAATCTGGCATCCTGTGGCTTAGTGCTGCCCCAATGCCATATGGCAAAGCATCACAGGCTAGTGTTACTGGTAGGGTTTCATTGAAATGAGCTAGGACGAAGTCCAAGGATAGCAATGAATTTACCCCAAACTGCAAGCGGCGCACTCGGAATGCACCTCTGTGTGACTATTGCTTGTGCTTCTGCAGTAGTATTGTCTACTGGTAGTGCTTGTAGACCTGGGCGAGGTCTAGCTTAGCAAAGATTCAGCCTCCCTGGAGCGAGGCGAGGATGTAGCTTACCACTGGAACAGGATAAGCATGCTGCTAGTACCTTGTTTATGGTGCAGTCACAATCTGTGCAGATGCAAATGTCCCCATTAGGCTTAACTGTGGTCACTATGGGAGTCTCCCACTGGCTACAGTCCAGGTTGGAGCACTCCCTGCTGTACCAGCTTGTCCAGTTCTGCATCAATTTCAAGCTTCAATGCAAAGGGAACTCTGTATGGTTTTAATCGGATTGGAGTTACTGCTGGATTGGGGTTGAGTGAAATAGGTGCCCCTTTGTATTGACCTAGCTCGGTACTGAATATGTCAGCATATTGTTGGCATACTGTTGCTAGATCGGCTATTTGGGTTCGATGGATGCCTGTCACCCTGATGCTTAGGGCCTTGAACTAGTCCAGACCTATGAGGCTGGTGCACAGCCTCTCTATGACCACAATGCTAAGGGGACCCTCGAACTCTCTGAATTGTACTCTAATGGTAGCCTTGTTCCTTAGTGGAACATGGCAACTCTGGAAGTCCATTAGCACTAAGTCAATGATTTGAGTGGGATCCACCATTGGCTACATTTGCAAATGTGGTTGAAAGTTGTGGAGGAGGTAATGGACAGGGCCGATCCAGTATCTAGTTCCATGGAGCATGGGACCCCTTACAGTTTTAGTTGGTCTTATTTTTTCTTTTATTGGGCATTGGGCCCTTGTGCATTGGATGCTACACCTTCCTGAGTAGTATTCAACTCTATTCTGTCCTGAGGGCCATTTCCCTTGTGCTGCTGTGTCGCAGGTTTCGTTTCCCACTGATGACTTCTGCAAACTCTGGCAATGTGCTTGCTTTCCACAAGCACGGCATACTGCTGTGCAGAATCTGAACTCTGCTCTTTCATGCAGTCCCCTGCAGCTTGCACTGCTCTGTGGGGGAGTTGCTTGCTCTGTGGAGCATGGCTGTCTGGGTGGCTCTCTGTGCAATTTCTTTGCTCTCACTGACTTCCTCCTTCTGAGCCTTCTGTGATCTCTTGGTGGATCGCTGGGAGGCTGGTGTGTGTTTTTGGTGGCTGGAGAATCTTCATGACCTCTCTGGCAGCCTCATCCGCCATGCCTTATTTCAATGTGTCTTGGAAAGTCAGTTTCTCCAGGGCAAATAGGAGCTGCTGTAATTCACTATTATGCAGGCCGCAAACGAGTTGGTCTCTGAGCTAGTCTTCCAAATCAGGGAACTCGCATTGGTGTGATGCTTGGCGAAGGGCTGCCAGAAACTCTGCTGCAGATTCCCTGGATCTCTGTTCATATTGCTCAAATGCATAGTGGCAGGTGATGACTGAGAGTTTAGGCTCAAAATGTCCCCTTAACTTTTTCTTGAGGTCTGCGAAGGCCACAGACTCTATGCATGCCAGTGCTATCAAGTTTTCAGAGATATCAAACATGGTTTGTCTGCAGACACATAGTAGGTTTGCTGCCTTCAGACTATTGTCTGTGACTTGGTTAGCCTGCAGATAGTTGTCTACTCGGGGGACGTACGAGTTCCACTGTTCTGGGTGAGTAATATTGAACTCATTGAGCCTTCCCAGTTTAGCCATTTTGAGAAGGTCCCTGTGGTGCTGGTTAATGCATGTACTGCTGCGGTTGGAGCTGGGCTGCACTTAGGAGTGCCTCCAATGTGTCTAACTGGCAGGCAGGGTGAAGAGCGTGATACCACTGTCTGATACTCATCATGCCTCCAGTCAGAGGTGGTATTCAGCAGGTTCAGACCAGTTCTGGAGAACCAGTAGCAGAAATTTTGAGCAGTTCAGAGAACCGGCAAATACCACCTCTGACTGGAGATTTTACAGTATCCTTCCCCTGCCATGCCCACAGAACTGGTAGTAAAAAAATTTTGAATCCCACCACTGCCTCCAGTGTGGCTTACTGGTAGGCAGGGGTGAGGTTTAGTCCTGCCGGGACTTGATATCCAGCCTATCACAAGGGATGGGATTCTACCGGTTTGGACCAGTTCAATAGAACTGGTTGTTACGAGTCCAGGTAGTTTGGAGAACTGGTAAAATGGGCCCCTGGCTGGCCCTGCCCCTCTCCGCCTGCTTCTCTACTCCCTGCATGTGCGACATCTCGCGCATGCATGACAAGCTGACTGCATTCTAGCCCTGTCCACCACACCCCTCCCCTCTTTATCTCGGCCATGCTCCCTCACTGCCTGCAGTCTGCCTTCGCCCGCCCACCAGCCATCGCTGTGTGCCTTCCACTATGATCTCCCTAGGTAAGTGAGGCTCTGCAAGCCCCGGCCACCTACATGCTGCTGCCACCGCCAGCCTCAATTGAGTCCCAACTCCTGGGCCAGACTAGGCTGCCACCACCGTACTACTGCTGCTGCCCTTGCCCTTGCCACCACCACTGCCACAAGCCCCAGATGAGTCCCGACTCCCAGGCAGGCCTAGGCTGCCACCGCCATGCTGCCGCCTTCCTCAGCACTCAGGGCCTAGCTAGCTGCCCCCCCCCCCCATCCCTGTCTGGCTTAGCAGCCAGTACTGCCCATGTGGCACTTGCAGCCTAGCAAGGTTCCCCCCCCCCACTTGCCCGCCTTGCTTAGCCACCAGCACTGCCCATGCTGCACTCATGGCCTAGCAAGCTTCCCCCACAACCGTCCCCAGCCGCCAGCTTACCTGGCTTGCTGGTGGCAGAGAGGAATGTGAGCCAGGGCTAACCTGTCACCACTTGGGTCCCCACTGGCCTGCATCTTGCCCACCGCCTGGATTCTCCGCAGCTGCTTGGCTTTGGGATGGGAGGTGACCAGGAAGCACAACGCTATGCTGCTCGCCCCTTTGCCTGCAGCCCCTTCCCTCTGCTGCCTGCCGGCCTGCACTCTTTAGATGAATGTGGGCCGCATTCTGTGAAAATGGCGCAAGTCAGGCCTCGCAAGAGATCTTCCTCGATAGCCCGCACTCAGCTAAAATGCTCGGCCAGGCAAGGGAGATGCGGCTGGCAGAGGGGCGATGCAGGCAGATGCGTACTTCCTGGTTGCCTCCTGCACCACCACCCCAGCAGCTGCAGAGAATCCAAGCAGGGGACGAGATGCGGGGTGGTAGACAGTCGAGTGGCAACGGCTCTATCCTGGCTAGCTCACTTTTCTCTCTGCCATCAGCCATGGGAGGAAGGTAAGTTTCCAGGCAGTTCCAGATGGTGCTTGAGGGAGGGGAGGAAGTCTCACTCCCAGCCCCTTTGTTGGACCTGGAAGCCTTGCCTGCCAGCTTTTCCGGGCAACGCGGGACCGGGTGTGAATGGACAATCACACCTGGTCCCTGGAACTCTAGGAGACTGGCCGGGAAGAATGTAAGTTAATGAGTGATATTGGAAGTGTGTGTGTGTGTGTGTGTTTCAGGTGAGTCTCCTAGTTTTAGAAGGAGTGAGGGAAGGAGAAAGAGAAGGGACAGAGAGACAAAGAGAGGGGGGGAAAGAGAGAGAAAGAGGGAGAGAGAGGGAAAAAGAGAGAAAGAGGGGGAGAGAGAGAGAAAGAAAGAGAGAGGGAGAGAGAGAGAGAGAAAGAGAGGAAAAGAAGGGGAAAGAAAGGGAAAAAGAGAGAGAGAGGAAAAGAGAGGAAGAGAGAGAGGAAGAGAGGAAAAGAAGGGGAAAGAGAGAGAAAGAAAGGGAAGGGGAAAGAGTGGGGGGGGAGAGAGAAAGAAAGAGTGAGAGAAGAAAGAGACAAGAAACAAAGAAAGAAAAGGGGAAAAAAGAAAAAGGGAGAGAGAAAGGAAGAGAAAGGAAGAAAAGGGATAGACAAAGAAACAGGGGGATAGAAGGAAGGGACAGAAAGAAAGAGAAAGAAAGAAAGAGAGGGCGAGAGGAGAAAGTGAATGAGATGAATGGATGGATAGATAAATATATGGAAGGAGGGAGAGAGACAAAACGGGAGAGGAAGGAAGGACACAAACCCTGGCTTCAAAAGACTCTTTGAAGCAGCACAGCAATCTAGGGCTGGCCTGGAAGGAATCTTGGAGGTCATCTAGTACAACCCCCTGCTCCAGAAGGAGATCCTTACAGACTCATAGAATAGCAGGGTTAGAAGGGAGAGAGAGAGAGAGAGAGAGAGAGAAAGAGAGAGAAAGAGAGTGCATGGCTGTCAAAACTCCCCCAAAAGGTCAAGTAATCCTGGGGAGGTCAGTCATAAATTAGAACACTTGCTAAGCAATCGGCCATTAAGCAAGGACCACTTGTATTTGGTTTGCCAGTCACATGGCCACCTGGCCATGCCCACCCAGTCACATGGCCATCAAGCCACACCCACAAATTAAGCCACGCCCACAGAACCGTTTGTTACAAAATTTGAATCCCACTCCTGCCTATCACCCAGTGATTTCAGTCTCTTGGTTAGCAGTAGCTCTCTCTCCTCTGCAGCATCCCACCTTTGTCACCACTATTGTGTAATGGGCTTCAGTAGGCAAGAAGCAGACCAGCATAGCTACAACAGCATTTATTGACTTAAACTGGAACTAAGGAACAGCAGGCAAATGCCTGCAATTTATACTCTGGGCCCACAGGGCCTTAACCAATCATAATACTTAAAAAACCCGCCCAAATATGAACGTTCTAAATTTTCCTCCAAAACAGTTGGAATTAACAGTTAGGGTCATCTAAAGGTTAATTTCACTTTAGCAGGGCTTAACACAACTTTATGTATTCAATGCATAACATTTAAATATTATTTTTAATTTTCATTTTTTTTTCCATTCCAAGTTTAAAAAATGAAACATCCTTGTCCTTGTTTTAGAAAAATGTGTGCAATTTTGGCAATCTTTTAGCAAAGCAAATTAAGATAGAGTCTCGTTAATCTATACCATCCATATGCAGTATATGGAGTATACTGGGCAAGGTATATTCCTATTCCAATCTGGAGAGGACCACATCATACTTGCCTCCTATTTAGTTTTTAATTTAGTTTAGTCCTATTTAGTTTTTAAAGCAAGCAGAGGAAATCTCTATTATCCATATTTTCTCCCAAAAATTCTGACATTGCCCAAATCCAATGACAAATTGGCCAAATCTCATTCATCTATTTTGGGCCTGATTTTTTTTTCTTTTGGGGATTTCCCACTCCCATCCGAAACCCTATCCCTGCAAAAAAAAAAAATGGGCCAAAACTTCAGTTTATACGCCTTGCAGTGACATTCAGCAACACTGGATAGTCTTTTGTAGACCTTTGATCCCTCAAATATGATCTGCTCTATGTTCAAGTTAGGAATATCTTAGAAATAAACCGAACAAAATGGCAGTTCTAATTCAGCACCTAGAATCTGGCCAAATGTGCAAGGTTTCATTCACTCAATTCTTAAATATGCCAAAGCGGGAAATAATAGTTACAGTTGGCAGTACCTCCCCTGTTGGACTACAGGTAATCCTTACCTTACAGTGGTGGGATTCAAAAAAAATTACTACCAGTTCTGTGGGCATGGCTTAGTGGGCATGGATACTATGAAATCTCCAGTCAGAGGTGGTATTTGCCGGTTCTCCAAACTACTCAAAATTTCCAGTACTAGTTCTCCAGAACTGGTCAGAACCTGCTGAATAGCACGTCTGCTTATAAACACAATTGGGCCCAAAATTTCTGTTGTTAAGTGAGACACTTGTTAAATGAATTTTGCCCCATTCACAACCTTTTTGGCACAGTTGTTGAATTAATCACTGCAGTTGTTAAGTTAGTAACACAGTGAATCTGCCTTCCCTATTAACTTTTCTTGTTGGAAGATCACAAAAAGTAGCACAAAACCCTGAGGTGCCGAAACTGTCATAAATATATGCCAATTGCCAAGCATCCAAATTTTGATCACATGACTGTGGAGCAGTGTGAAAAATGTTGTAAGCCAAAATTGGTCATAAGCCAATTTTTCAGTGATGTTGTAAACTTTGTATGGTCACTAAACAAATGGTTGTAAGTTGAGAACTATTTCTATGCCACCTTGCATTTGAGTAGCTAAAATTGCTATTTCATTTAAATTGGGAAATATATATTACTCTGATTTTATTCCAAGCAGAAGCAGCAGAAAATCTGTAGTGTACTCATTTGGGACTGAACCGGAGACACAGCTTAAATTAATTGGCAGCCCTTTCTATACTATAGATGCATTGGTCTTTTGAAAGATTGCCGAACATATATTTAATAATAGACTGGGGGTTTCATCCAATGACTGTTGAAGATAGAATAGGAAATTAAGGTAATTATAGGAAATTGATTGAGAAACAGCAAAAAAAAAGCCCATAGAATTGCTAACTATGATATGAAGTATATAATCTTAGAGTAATCTTTAGATTAAAATCTCAATATTTAGACATATTAGAAAGTCATTAGATAGATGCTAAGGACAATAGTGATTCTGGAGCAGCTAATTTGTATTCTTAAATTCCAATCACAGATATTTAGGAATAAAAACCCATTTTCATAACTGTGTTTGGGATTTGGGAAACTACTATATCCGTTTTTTTCATTATTTTTCACTCTTCAAGCTATTTTCCAAAATATCTCCCATAAACAATAAAGCAGCTTCTTTCCTCTTAAATTTCTTCCCAAACTCATCTTTTCCAGGAAAATTCAAAAGTATGTATAATTGACACAACTACATATTTATTTTTATTTACTATGCCCTCATTTCCTCTCCATATGCTTCCATTTCCATAGAGTTGTTCACATTGTGGTCCATAAATGTTTTTTACTTTTCTAAAATATGTAGCCTACAAAATTTATAACAGTAGCTCAAATTGTTATATTGCTACAAAAAACTGTACTTTGTCACTATTTACCAGACCAGCCTTTACTGATTGAAGAAAGAAGAGATGCGGCAGTTCTCTGTCCTCCATAGAAACCTGGCTTGCAAAGACAACTATATTTTCCAAGAATAAATCCATGGTTTTCCTGTGGGATACACTGAAAAGAGAAATGCACATTTGTAAAATCATCTTCTCCCTACCAAACTTTCCAAAGTAAGTTGATTAGAGACAAGCTCTTCAAATACTCAAGGTTTGAATGGTTATGTTCTCCTGTCTGGTATTATTCCAATCTTCTTTTTTTTTGTTCCTTTTTCAGAATAAACCCTCCCCCACAATTTCCGGTATCATAAGCCAAAGTTTTTAGACTGTGTTCTGCATAATCATTGGTTGGTTTCTGGAGAATTTGATTGGATTTCATGAGAGATTAGGGACAAACATTTTCCTTCCTTCCTTCCTTCCTTCCTTCCTTCCTTCCTTCCTTCCTCTTTCCTTCTTTAGGCACTGCCTAAAAAACTTTTACTCTACTGCAGGGGTATCAAACTTAAGGCCCTTGGGCTGAATCCGGCCTGTGGGTTACTTAGATCTGGCCCATGAGGCTGCCCTGTTAACATTGAAGGACTGGCCCACGGTGCCTTTGCCAATGAAAACAGAGCTCAGGAGGGCTGCATGCGACACTCCTGAACTCCGTTTTCACTGGCAGAGGGTTGTAGGAGGCCATCCCAGCCATGCGTGGCCCTCCCAAGCTCTGTTTTTGCTGGCAGAGGGTTTCAGGAGGCAGTCGCAGCTGTAAACAGAGCTCCCTAGCCATTTTCACTGCAGAGTGCTCGGGCCACCACAGGTGCCTCCAACATGAGTGACATCAAGCTGGCCATGCCCACCCTGGCCCCCCGAAGTCAAACACAACCCTGATGTGGCCCTCAATGAAATCGAGTTTGACACCCCCTGCTCTACTGCAATCAAGGTATTCTTAGAATTTTTTAATTGACAGTTTTAGCAGCCCATTTAGCAAAAGTTTGAAAACTTTTGTTATAAGATGCTGTGAGGAATTATAAAAATTATGATTCAGTAATAATATTGCACAAGCAAAGTCTGCCTTTTGAATGGAGAGACTCCAAGGGAATATATTTACAGTTTTCTCAAGGACTTGGCTATTCTCTGAAAACCTTAATAAAGAATCTACAACTTAAATATTTTCAATAAGTAATGTGAAGACAAACATTATTGGAAAAGACTCTAATGCTTGGAAAAATCAAAGGCAATAATAAAAAAAGGTTGACAGAGGACAAAGTGGCTAAGTATTATCAGTGACGACTTTAAGCACAAGCTTAGAAGAATGTGAAGAAGCAACTCTGATAGAGAGCCTTGGTGAAATAATGTCCATTGGTACATTGAGTCATTATGGTGCAGAGTATCAGGCAAGAGTCGATGAATCAGATACTGAACCAAAACTATTCTTTTCAAGGAAAGTATCTGAGGAATATCCTGTTTGACTTTGAGTAAGATTTAGGCCCTGATAGTAACCAATGCAGAAGTAATTCATTCTCATATGTCTTATTTCCACAACATATTCAAGCTAGTCAATCACTAATCTAGTCAAATTTCCTTCCAACACCACATTATCACATTAACTGTGCAAGAGTGAACAATCTGGGAATACAGAATTCCCACCACTTTCTCTAGGAAGCCTTAATAACTGGAGCACTTGCACCAGAAGAGTGTTAGTAAGACTTCATTAGCTGTAGTGGCGCAATGATTAGAAAGCAGTATTGCAGGCTAACTCTGCTCATAGTCAAGAGTTTGATCCCGAGAGACTCAAGGTTGACTCAGGCTTCCTTCCTACCAAGATCAGTAAAATGAGAATCCAATTGTTGAGGGAAATATACTGACATTTATAAACTACCCAGAGAGTACTGTAAAGCACTATGGAGATGTATATAAATCTAAGTGCTATTGTTATAGCACCTTTCCTATTGCCAGCATGGTTAAATTTTACAGCCAATGAATTTGGGAAGTAAATGACTTTGAATTCCTGAGCTGCTCCAGTCTCAATGTCACATGATGGCAAATTTAAATCTTCATGCACTATTGGCCTTGGAGATCCCACAGCCACATACTAGGAGTTCAAGCAAGAACCTTTCTGTGTAACAGGGAAGCCAATATTGCAACATAAATCCAAATGATTCCTAAAGCCCGACTTCAGCCACAGGATGTCACATCACATCCACTTCATTGAAGCACAAGACCTCTGAAGGCCTTTATATCTTCTCAGATAAGAATGTCTATCCTACCCCCACCCCACTTTTCTTAGACTCATCATTGATGCGACATTTAAAACCCAGGTGGGCATACCTCTGAGAATGCAATACCCTCCTTTGGCCTCAATTCTCAATTATACCATTAGGTCAGCCATATTATCCAGAATGAGATTATGGATGAGGATTGCTTTGTTAGACCAACATGACATTAAGTAACAGCAGCCAGGATCTGATAACTTAGCTTTATAAGTGAATACTGGTGCCTTAAGGTAAAATTGGTTTCAAGTTTGTCTTCTGTGATGTGAACCAGCTCATGTTTCCCACCAAATCTTTCCCTGCCCATCACAATCTGGATGCCATTCCCTTCCCTCTCTCTTATCCCGCTGCCATCCCCAGCCCAGTATCTAACCAACCAGTCAGCCAGACAGATACCCAATCAAACAACTGTAATAATCAAACCATATATTCCAGTCAAACCCTCATTCAGCAGTAGCCCTTCCCTCCAACACATGTAATACATGTGAACTACCCTTCTAACACTTTCTTCTATACATATATATTCAACATTTCCTTCCCTAGATATAGAATTCCTGAGTTGGCAGCTGCCACAATACAATTCTAAATACACAATTTCTCATCTTCAATTCAGGGCAAAACCAAAGTTCCAATGATCTAGTTAGCACGTGAGCAGACAAATATGGTAGTCAGTCAATGGGTATTTTTTTTAAATAAACTGCACTAACAGGAACTTAGAACCAGAGAAACTGGTTGCCAGGCAGCTGTAGAATGAGATGGGTTCACTAGTTTCACATCATCTGACTTTATTCTTATCTTCCAGCTCGTCACTGCAATGCTACAATAAGACCTTTCCTGCCAGAGCACATTCCAGTTATCAGCCATTCTTCCCCAATAGCTTCTCCTAACCCACTGAGAACTTCAAAATGGTATCTTCTCTGCTGCCAGACCAAGATTTATTTATTTGTTTGTTTGTTTGTTTATTTATTTATTTATTTTGTCAATCACTTACAAGATAATAGGTATAAGTATAAACATGAGTAAGAATACAGGAAATAGGTACGATAAATGAGAACAATAGGACAGGGATGGTAGGCACGATTGTGCACTTATGCACGGCCCTTACAGATCTCTGTAGGAATGGGGTGAGGTCAATAGTGGATAGTTTGAGGTTAAAGGAGTGGGGGTTAGAGGATGTAACAACAGAGTCAGGTAATGCATTCCAGGCATTGACCACTCTGTTGCTGAAGTCGTACTTTCTGCAATCGAGTTTGAAGCAGTTTACATTGAGTTTGTATCTGTGTGTGCTCTTGTATTGTTGTGGTTGAAGCTGAAGTAGTAATTGACATAATGTCCATCCCATAACATCATCCAGCTTAAGGGATCATCTCCACGCAATGAGTAGACTGCATTCTTCTTCCTGGCACTTCTTCATTATGTCCACTCTGTCCTTGTATTCAGCACCCACTCCTGCCTGGAGCACATTCCAACTCTAGATTTCCTTCAATATTCTACATAGTCATTCCAACAAATTTCACACCAACAACAAGCCCACTGGTAACAAATCCCAACTATCATGCCCACTGGTAACAAACAAATTTCCTGGTTGTGAACTCAGTGATCCCAGTGTTTGCATAATAAATTTACTTCATCGTTGATACAGGAAAGTATGTTATGCCCCTGTGGCCAAAGAGTGCATCAGTCTTGCCACAGAATATTTGCAATACAGATAAGAGGACAACTTGGTATGTCTTCTTGTCTGTATTGCAAATATTCTGTGGCAAAAATAGAGCTACACCATGTATCTTTATAAAAGATGCTCTCCTTTTTCAAAAAATGTCAGAGAGTGTCAAAGAGTAGGCCTCAGTTTGAAAGATTCTTCAATCTAAATCCAATATAATGATAAAGAAATATCAATAAGGAGAGTAGTAAAGAATCTTGATGCTGACTACCAACTTGTTAGCATTTGGGCAACAGATATTACAAATTAATTGATTAATGCTTTGTTTGCATTTGATGCTGTGGGAAAGTATACTGTACTTCTGAAATGTGCACATGCACACTTACACAAACTGTACACTTTTTACGTGCTAATTCATGAAAAATTGTATACCCCTTTCCATTTTTGGGGATGACAGGTTTTTTGTTTGTTTGTTTGTGATAGTAAGTAGCCATTTTGTACATCAATATTTCAGTGGGAGAGGAAACAGAGTTTAATCAAGGGATTCTCAATAAGGTATATTTTTAAAATAGAACACACACACACACACACACACACACACACACACCTGTTCCCAGAGCCTCCTTAAAATATGTGTGTTTCGTCATACCAGACTTCCTTTAACAGACATGAGTTTTGAGAGGAATCTAATATTAGTTGATGACTTTGTGTCTGGAAGTGAGGTATTTTGCTCTGCGCAATAAATCTAAATTCTGAGACTGTTAGAATCAAAACAGTAAGGCAGCTCTAGCAACTTCTGAAATGTCTTCTCATGTCTTTTCTCTGAGGCATGTTTAAAAGATTAAGATGGAGATTTTACCCCTTCCCTTGTGCTTTATTTGATCTCTTCTTATCATCTTATTGGATTAAATTAGGAGCAAGTGTCTTGAGTTTTGTGTAAAGCACTTTTCATTTGCTTCATTTCTCCAGCTGGCTCAACACGATTCTCTGGACATCCATGGCTGAATATTTAAGCATTATACTAACCAAATGTTGGATGACCAAATCCCTTTTCCGTAAAACCTAAATGGATCACTAATTCTGCATAGAGTACTAATCCCTTGAGAAACAACTGCAGCCAAAAGGAAAGCTAACATTACTATTGAATACACACTGAATACTTAAAGGACCAGAAAACATATGAAGCCACAGTCCATATTGGGTCAAGAGTTTGCTTTTTTCCAATTATTTCACAGGAAGAAAAAGTCTATGCAATGTCTAGTAGTTTAATGTAATCAGAACTTCACTGTTTTCCCCTTTCTCAGCAGACAATTGGAAGAAGCAAAGAGTCACAGGGCTGGAAGAGACCCCAAGGCACAAGTCCTTATACTGTTCAATCTTTTCCTAAAAACCTTCAGTGATGGAGCATCCACAAATCTGGGAGGCAAACTGATTGATTGATTAATTGTTCTTATTGTTAGGAACCTCCTTCTTATTTCCAGGTTGAATCTCCCATCGGACAAGCTTCCACCTATTATTCTCTATAGAGATATAGTACTTTACATAAAAGGCAACTACTCTTCCTCTTTTCTTGTTTCATTTGAACAATTTATATCCTTTTAGCAGTATGTTCTAATCATGGATTCTATCCCACCAAATTTAACTAACAGCTACAATATCATGCTTGCACTCACATACTAGGATCTCAAGTTTATTTATTGGATTTATATTGCCGCCTTTTCGCCCATGGTGATTCAAGTTCTCCCTGTTTGTTCCTTATACATTCAACACTAGTGTACACTCTACAGGCATCTGAGCCCTTTATGATTGACCCTGTGTTTGCTTCCTGCATCTTCTATTATATGCCTGAGTGTCTCTTCCTTCTCACCACCTCCTTCCTCATTTTCTGATTTGTTGTCTTGGGATTCATGTTTTGGGTTTGGTCCTAAAAATTGGTCTCATTCCCCTTCCAGTTTTAGTTTAAAGATCTATGGCTGAGCCAAACTAGCTGTTTTCCAAACACATTCCTCTCAGTCTTTGGGATATTTATTTATTTATTTTATTTATTTGATTTGCCAATTGTTTACAAGATAATAAGTATAAGTGTATACATAGTTGTGAATACATGAAATGGGTACATATAAGAAAAATAAAAGAAGAATAAGACAAACAATAGGACAGGGACGGTAGGCACGTTGGTGCGCTTATGCACGCCCCCTACAGACCTCTTAGGAAAGGGGTGAGGTCAATAGTAGACAGTCTAAGGTTAAAGTTTTTGGGGTTTGGGGAAGAAACTACAGAGTCGGGTAGAGTATTCCAGACATTGACCACTCTATTGCTGAAGTCGTATTTCCTGCAATCAAGTTTGGTGCGGTTAACTTTGAGTTTGTATCTATTGTGTGCTCTTGTGTTGTTATGGTTGAAGCTGAAGTATTCATTGACAGGTAGGACATTGCAATGTATGATTTTATATACCATGCTTAAATCAGACTGAAGACGGCGTAATTCAAGGTTTTCTAGTTCTAGAATTTCAAGTCTGGTGGCATAAGATATTCTACAACGAGTAGAGGAGTGGAGAACTCTTCTTGTGAAATATTTCTGGACTTTCTCAATTGTGCTAATATCAGATATGTAATGTGGGTTCCAGACTGATGAACTGTATTCGAGTATTGGTCTAGCAAATGTTTTGTATGCTCTGGTTAGTAGTGTGATATTACCAGAGAAAAGGCTACGTAGGATTAGGTTAACAATGCCAGAAGCCCTTCTTGTACATGGTCCAAAAATCCAAAATTCTCTTGATGACAGCATTTACTGAGCCAGCAAGGAGGTATACATCTCTAAATATAATACTTTAACAGATGTGAAATTAGGGTTAATTTGACAAGAAACATTCCTTAGGTAAGACAGTGTTATGCAATTTCAGCAGATATATGGCCTTCTGCTTCCCAGAATTACCCACCCAGCATAAGCGGATTTTATAACACTCATGTTAAAGTTACTAAGATTATGAAACACTGGACTAAGACACTGTTCTGCTTCTTTTTATGAATTCAGTTAATTGTTTTCTGTCTACTTTGAAGAGAATACTTCTTGATAGCTACGCTATATATTTGCACATTACATTCATATAGTTTTGATCATTAAGAGTCAGATTAACCTTAATGAGTGAATTTCTTAAAGCAATTTTTTTCAAACTCCTTTGGAAACTTGAGAAGTGGCGGGGTTCCTTAATAAATAGCAGACAGCTGTGTAGTGTTTCAAATATTATAGGATGCAAATTAAGAGAGTAGGAAAAGTAATGATCTCTGTAAAGATAGGTTTGGTTTAGTGAGTTGAAAGAAAGCGCAACAATTATTTTTCCTCCTTCTTGAAAAAGCCCATGGAAGAATAATGAAATCCCACCGTGGAGGAATGGATTGTGAAAGTTTCATACTTCTTACAAATGGCAGAACTGACCTGTCTAGTCAGAGGGGGGAAAACTTATCAAAAAATTTTCTGAAACCTTATGCAGTATGGATTTTTTGTTGAAAGAAGAAAGAAATGACATGGTGATTTATGGGCTTGAAGATTTAGGAAGATGTAGATTAAGTGAGAGGCTGAAAGGATTTGTGCAATATCTAAGAGGGAGGAAGAATTATAAATTTGTAACTATATGTTGAAAAGAAGATTGCAAATCATAACATTTCTTTACATTTTTCATTCCTTTTTTGTTTCTTGCACTGTTTTCTTTGTTTATATATTTCATTTTTTCCCCTTCAATATATATGTAACACACACACACTCTCTCTCTAGATAGTGTTAGAGATAGAGAGATATAAATATTCCTTGTTAAGAATTGTTTCTTAGTGACCATTCAACATTACAAAGGACCCTCCTAAAAGTTACTTACAGCTCAGTGTTACAGTGTGCGCCCCCCACAGTCATAGGAATGTATTTTGAGTGCTCAGCAACCACCCCAAAGTTTGCAGCATCCCACAGTCACATGATGACCTGCTTTATGGTCATCACAACTTATGACTGTAATTGCCAGGATCAATTACTGTCATATGTCAAAGACTACTTGTAAAACAACAACAACAAAGCACTATATAATCCCAGCATTCAAATGCTGGTCTTGTGCTCATCTGGAGTTCAAAGTCCTTTTTCTGAATTATTTCACAATACCTAGCTCTATTACAACACAATTTTAAAAAAGAACATTAGTTGGGATGAGGAACATCTGTCCTCCAGATGCTGCTAAAATGAAACTGACCATCCCTCAACGTTAATGGCCATTGCCTCGGGCAACTGGAATGTGTAGGTCAGTAACATCTGGCAAATACACTTTTTCCATTACCGAGATAGTGTTGTGTGTACGTATGTATATATATGTATATATGGATGTCAATAGGGAAGACCCTCCAGTTCACAGTCTGACATGATAGTATAGCTGGGAGCAGAGCTCCAAAGCTCTCCTTACCTGGGTGCTGTTGAGATCACACTGATGTGTGTTTGCAAACCATCCTCCGTTAGTGGCACACTGGTTTATATCAACATTTTGGATTTTAACATCCAGCCTCATGACCCCTCTGGAACAGATAAGATGATGGTTTTAGCATGTATCGGGAGAGAAGGAATTCAACAATTCTAATGGAACCATATAATCACTGCAGATGACATTGCCATTGGCTGGAATGTATTAAGAACCGTCTGATGAACAATCCATATATATGAGCAAAAAAATATCCTATCTGAGGAGGTAGCAGAAATATGAGAAGACAAAGAGAAGGGGCTGAAACATTTACTGAATGGGAAGCATGGAATCGGCCCTAACTATATACAGTACATCTTTAGTATGCTGCTGCTTTAAATTATAAAAGTGAAGTTAATTTAGGATGGAGTTTCACTAGTCCTTGGATTTTGTAATTTAGGATTTGCATCAATTATTCCCACGATCACCAAGTAAGTATGTTCCAACTCTTTAGAGGAAAAAAACTCCACTATGACACAGAAAAAGTTGACAACTTTGTATTAGTAATTTGGCTTCCTTCCTTGCCCTCTCCCTGCCTTCAGATTCTTTCTTTGCATCATATCAAGGCACAGCAGCTTCACTGATGCACAGGGACAAAACCTTCCACAAAGCAGAGAGTAAAAGCACAAAAGTACAAGATACTCATAGTTAAACAGTGACTAGCCATAGGACATAGAATAGCAGTACAGTATAGAGGTGCATTCTTTCATACTGGCCTATTGCATTATGTAAAGACGTTTAAAGAGTTCATATGTTGTGGAGTTATAATGTGTTTTTCTAACAGATTAACTCTGTAATTTGTACATCCTTGGTGATGATTTAATAAGCTTCTGTGAACCTTGACAATTGTTTTATATTCAATCAAATTGGTTCTGTTATGTGTATGAACTTGTGTGATCTCAAAAATCAACAATTTATCAAAGACCAATTTGTACATTAAATGATCTATGACAACAAGTCTATGATTGGGATCACATTTCATACCAAACAATGATTTAACTATGGATTGTTCATAAACCATAATTGGCTGGGTTCATATAGCAATAGTAATAGCACATATATTTACGTACCACGCACAGTACTTTCTTCACTCTGTGGGCAGAGTGTCAGCAGGGTACTCCCAACAATCCGGGCCCTCATTTTACTGACTTCAGAAGGATGGAAGGCTAAGAGAACCTTGAGGATCAAACTTCAGGCTGTGGGTAGTTTGCTTTCAATACTGTATTCTAGCCACTGTGCCACCAGAGCTCATATATTACATTAAGCCATGAATTATCACTTAAAAACTACAATGATTGCTGTAATACAATATACTTAGCCCTACATTAAGGTTGACATACCCTAATGGATAGCAGAGGAGATACCTACTCCACTATTATTGGTGGTGTTGCAGGGACCAGGCTCTCTCTTCTCCTTTTTAACATGTACATATAGTTGTTGGGTGAAGTCATCTGCTAGTCAAGTCCCTTGAAGAGTATTTGCAAGTTTTAGCTTGGGTAAAATGTGATGGTGTGGGCAACCATAAGCGTCTACTACTTTCAGCACAAGGGACACCTCTGTTCCATGAACTGCACTGGCTACTAGAAAGCTTTCAGGTATAACACAGGGTGCTGGTGATTACTTGAAGGCCCTTCATGATCTGAAACTAGGTTATTTCTGGAAATCTCACTCCCCAGTTGGATTTATCTTTCCGATTAGATTTGGCAGAAGAGACATGCTCTAAATCCTATCTCTGGTGGGACTCATGAAAAAGCCATATCTGTCACACAACTATGAGACACAATTCTCCTCCTCTCACTTAGTGACAACAATTTCAGGTTGAATTATTGTAGTAAACAAAGACCTGCCTGCATTTAATTTAGAATTCAATATGAAATACAAATTCTCCCTTTGAATCATAAAATGAGCAAACAAATTTTAGCCTACAGCATGTTGTATAGATCAGTCCATGACATATGTCTCTGTGTTATGTAAACTTATGCAATTGCATTAGAGTAACTGTATAAAATGGTAGTTGTTACCAATAGGTAAAAGTAAAAAAACATAGCCAATTTGTTTTTCTGAAGACAATTCATAATAACTGCATTATTAGTAGCATTACTGTTGCTTTGCTAAGTCCTGTCTTTCCAAATATAAATCCTATCAAAACTGTTTAGGATTGCATCAATAATCCTAAACTAAAAATACAGTTTGAAATAAAGTAACAATTTTTTAAAAAGCAGGGATTCTTTTCATAGGAAAGCTGATAGAATTAAAATTCAGAATACCTTTTTCTGAGGTGTTTGCCTTCTTTATCTCTCTCCTCATTTTGTTACTATAAAATCAGTCCTGAATAAAGGATCTTTAAAAAATACCATTTCACAAATAACAGTCTCCCCACCATCTGCTTCGCTGGGCTCTTATCTCCATAGGATAAGTGGGAAAAGAAATTGTTTTTAGCATTTGCCTATTTTTGGCATGGGATGGTTAGGGCTGGTATCATTTGTAGAGATCTTTTCAACCCTACCTAATTTGCAAATTATATGCATGACCACAAGAATGCAGCAGGTCTAATATATTAACTCATATTTATTTTAAATCTAGGATTAACCTGCTGATCATCCCAAACATGATCAAATTAATCATCCTACTGGCACCTGTCATTGCACAGTTGTGCTCTTCCTAATTTATTTGTTGAACAAATAACACAGTCTGTAAAGGCTCAGGGTGAGCAGGAGGGCAGAAAGTTAATACACGTTCTCCTGACCCTGTTTCTCAAAACAAGGCCTGATTACATACATTTCATTGAAAATAATAGCTCAGTTTCCCTGTTTTCCTGGAAGAATAATGTCTGCTTAACCATCTATTATCCTTGAGTATGGCATGTTATATAGTATGATTAAATTAATTAGTTTAAAGCAGTGACAGCTACAGATCATGATTATGGGACTCATGGATAGGAAAAACATGGCAAGCCAACCTACAACATGAATTAATATGTCACATTGAAGTAGTCAGTGTTTCATTGAGAGATGATAGATAGATAGATAGATAGATAGATAGATAGATAGATAGATAGATAGATAGATAGATACATGATAGATACATGATAGATAGACAGACAGATGATAGAATTATACACATATACACAACAAGCTTTTCCAAAAAAAAATAAGGAAATTCTATTGTACTTTTAATAAGCTTATCTGTTTTGAATTATTAGATAAGAAGGAGCATATGCAGCTTTGTAGTATCTTGGGGATTGCAAACATTCACACAAATACCTTGGAAACAGCAAAGTATTATGCAGTAGGTGTTGTATGTCTGGATTTTACAGCCCAAATCTTGTAGCCCTACTCATAACATTAGAATATCTACCTCAATATTAGTTATATTTATAATGACATATTGAATCTCCAATTAGCTAAACAGATTCTATTACATTGTCCTTATCCAGCCACTATGATTAGTGAATAATTCAGAATGTTTTTTAAATCTACAAAATAAAGTTAATTGAATAAACTGCAGTTCAGCTCACCATGACAATGTGATCTGAATTTAGAATGTTTTTTCATATAAATATATTTTCTCCCTCAGAACAACCTTAGGCCATTTGGGTGGAATCAGGGATGGGATTCAAATTTTTAACAACCGGCTTTGTGGGCGTGGCTTAGGTGGTAGACGTGGCTTGGTGGTCATGTGACTGGGTGGACAAGGTTTGGTGGTCATGTTATTGGCTGGGTGTGGCCAACTCAATATCCCTCACATCGAGGCTCGCATCTCCTCGCCTGGCCTCTCATGACTGTGGGGATGCTGCAACCATCGTAAGTGTGAAAAATGGTCATAAGTAACTTTTTTCAGTTCCATTGTAACTTTGAGTGGTTACTCCACACAAGCAAAGTGCCAGCAAAGGAAGGGAAAAAAACTCCAGAGAAGTTCCTGAGATAGGAAGTCTAGTCCTGCCAAGAATGAAATAAGGGTTAATGGAGAGGCGGTTTCTGTAAGCAACACCAGAAGGTTTCCTTCCTGCCTTCCTTACAGGATTAGGCCAGTAATTTCTTCTAACAATCGGTTTTCCAAACTGCTTAGAATGTTAACAACCGGTTCTAGCGAATGGGTGCGAACTGGTAGAATCCCACCCCTGGGTGGAATCAATACCTGTTTTTCCCACAGTATCCTGAAAGGCTATTTTGGGATATTATGAGAAATTAATAAATAAATGTAATTCAAGCAATTCAGTTATTTAAAGTGTCCAGCTGAAAACTATCTTTTAATAGATATTTACAGAAGACACTAGCAGTTATCTTTGTTGAACCATTGGCAGCTGTTTGAATATGTTAGTTGTTAGTGCAAGATTGAGGCCAGAATTAAACTATAGCTAACCCTACAGATTGTGATTGTAGACTTGAGCAGATCAGTTGCAAAGTAGGGACATTCATGCTGTTCTACAGGCTGTGAGATTACATCAGATAGTCCATTCTGGCCATTCTGGTAGCATTCTGTAATGAAAATCAACCCTTCAACATAAGATCTGCTTAAACTTCTAAATAGCTTTTCTGGACTGTTTCCAGTAGATTGGCAGAATCAGAAGAAATTTAGTTCTTATTTATGTGAAAGATGTAACTCATCTTTCTTTAACCTAAAGTAGCTTTGGAATATCCTCTTTAATTCTGAATCAAGGGGAAATGTACAGATTTCTTAATATGTACAAATACCCTTCTTAAAAGGTAGCACATGCTATAGACAATAGAGTGTGTTTCCTCAGCATATCATCGTCATCATCCCTCGACAGCCATTGTAATTTATATTTTTGTTATATTTTGGTATATAACAATTCAGAATCTAGCATTCAACACTAAATTGGTGGTTTCTAAGATATTTACTATTGAGATTGTGGACTTGAGACATTATCGGTTTTCTCCCTGACCTCCTGCATATCTAATTATAAAGAATTGATTATGCTTTTGATGAAACAACCAATGATAGACGCCACTTAAATCTATTGTGTGAATTTACCTTAGTTCTAATCCTATTTCTATCCTATCCAGTCAAGTAGCTATTGGTAAACTATGGGGTTAAATTAACCCTGTGCAAAGACTTAATAGATTAAAGAAGACTTAATAGATTAAAGAAGATCAGGTTTGTGGAGAATAATGAAGTAATAACAATGACAATGAAGTAGACTTGTGAAAAAGAATTTTACTTATTACTCCTAATATCTCTTCTAGGTAAGCAGTAAAGAAAGTGATATAAATACTGAAAGATGTTTTCCCCTTTGTTAATTTCAAATTATCAGTGGAATATAAATAAATAAAAACCTCTGTAGAATAGTACCTTGTGTGTGTGGAGGAAATGACATAAGTAGCCTCTGAAATCCTTTCTGATGAATACTACAGCCCATTCCATTTCTCTTGCATTCAGATTCTTCTTCTAGATAGGACTTTCATTTTTTTCTTCCAGCTAAGCTTTAGCAGCTTAGTTAAGACCCCAGCTTGTAAAGTACCTAACGGTATATTTACTTAATATAAAAATTTCTTATCAGTATGATTTTTAATATTCTTTAAAATAAGGAATAAATGCTCAAACTGCATAGAAGATATTTTTCTCCCTTCCAGGCCAGCCTCATAACCTGTGTGTAATGAATAGATTGAGATTCCAGACATTAAGATAGTATTTATTAGGAATTTATCCTGGAAGATGGATAAATTAAAATCTGCCTTTGAATATACACTGAATGCTTTCTCATTATGTTTAAGTATGACTCATTACTGCAACTGGGTGCTAAGACACCAGCTTTCCCCCTAGAAAAGTTGAATATATCCTTTCTATTTTAGAGATTATCCTAAACTATTCCAGCAGAAGGGCATAAAAACAAAGTACCTTACACATGCTTAGATAAATATATGTTATTGTTACTACTATTGTTACTTTTAATAGCAGGTTCTGAGATAGAGTTTAATTTTTTTTAAAGTTTGCAATATTTTTCTAAGCAGCTGTTTGCAAATCCCGATGAGCTTCTCAATAGAATATGCATTTTAGCAATAAATAGTGATGAATGTATTTAGTTTCTATGCATGATGGTAATAGTAGAATTCAGCCCCACTGAGAAAGGTATTGGATATTTTTCTCTCTCCACATTCTCCATCTAGCTTCTTCCCTCCCCAGTTCCCTAACAACTGTTTATATTACTAATGTGAGAAGAACCAGTGGTGGATCTCCTGTATCCTAGGTGGGTTTGGATCAAAATCTCACCCCTTATCACTATCCTCTTCCACTCACTTGAATTCTGGATTGAGGTCAGGCTTGAGGCCGTAGAATGAAGAGGAGAGTGTAACCATCCAGGAGGGCAAGAATTTTCCATCTTCACATTCCAGGAAAGGTGGTGACCACTTAATATAGCTCTGATCGATCACATAACTATCTCCTTGGCTCCATTTGGGGGTGTCTAGTGTCTTAAGGTCATTGCTGAGAATTCTCTTATAAAGCGGTGGAGTCCGTTGGAACCTAAAGTAATTGTACCACTCATTTTCCCAAGTCAGATTCCTTAGATTTTCTGAAAAGGCAGAAAGATCTTGAAGTAAGATCTCATTATTCCCCTTTGTGGCTTGAAGTATCAGCTGGGGCTTGGAAAACAAAGGATGAGCATCAAAAGTCAATATGGCTCGGTAAACTTGAGAATCCCCTTCTATAACACTTCTCACCAAGGCATGGTACCATTCTACATCTTCTTTCACACTGGATTCCCGGATGTCATTAGTCTGAAAGACCATATTGAGAAAATTGGTGGCATGGGTCAAGGTGTCCGTAACACTGCGTAGATAGGAATATAAGGTTGGTGGAGGGCGGGAGTCCTTCACTAAAGCCCTCATTTCAAATCTCTGGGTACAGTTGGCTTGTGAGAGACTCAGGGCATCTCCAGAGTACAGGAAGGCCATTGCTGCCTCCGATCCCTCAGGTTCAGCCTTATCCAAATTAAGAGTAGGCATCCAAGTGAAAGCTGAAACCAAAAAAGATGAAGATGAAGGCATCCACTCCTTCGTTTTGGGTGTCCTGGTTTTAGATGGAGCTGATTGTTGTTGTTGTTGGAAGATTTCAGCTGCTTGTAGGAGTTTGAGATGGAAGCACCAAATAAGAAATCCCAGAAGAGAAGTCTCCATGGTTTAGCAAAAGGTGTAGAAAAAGGTGTCATCCAGTTGAAATCATTTCAATCATGGGAAAGCCCTCTTGAGAACTCCTGATGAGTCTGATGGAAATGTTGAGATGCTCAGAAAGTAGAGGAATAAAGCCTTGAGAAGCAAAGAAGGAGCCAGTCAATCTGTAAAATGAATGTCCCCACAGAACGGTGTCACACTTGCTGAATAGTATCCTGCCTCCTTTGATAATTTACATGAGTTTTTCATTGTCTCCCACTCTCTATTTTTTTGCTGTCCCTTATATCTTCCCTCCCTGACTGGTGATGGAGCAGACGTCACCACAATATGAGCAGCTGCTGGCACTTCCCCCCCCCTCCTTTCCCTCCCTGACTACTATTATATGCATAGGATTTTAAATCTCTGCAGATCCTCACACACATCCACACACACAAACATACTAAGAGCTCAGTCAACAGCCTTATTTGCTAATGCTTGAAATGGAAACATCCTGTTTCGGGCCAGAAAGAGAGAAAGGGAGGGAGAGAGAGAAAGATGGGAAGAGAATAGAATCTGTCTCTCAGTCTATCTCTATCTCACTTTACTTCAATTAGGGAATCTGGGTCTGACAGTAATACAAGCAACCAAATCCTGCATGGAGTACCATGGCAACAGGAAATTTGTCTTCCCACCTCACCGTTCTCTTCCCTTCCTCTCCTTTCCCCTCCTTTATTTGTTTCCTTTCCATTCATCAGCTTGACTAACACCATGAGAGCGATATTCATTTATAAGGTCACATACTGCCTACTGATGTTCCTATAATGCTGCTAAACTTAATTAACCATTTAGGGACAAGGAATGTGGAAGAGAACAGGAGGAAGAGAAGGGGAACAAGGACCGAGACATTTCAAATGGATGCTGTATTCTATTGTTAACTACATACTGAAATCATTCAAGAATGTAGTCAGAAAATGAAGAGTGAAAAGAGCAATTCCAATGCGTGTGATACAGACAAATGAAGTCTAGTCTATATCAGAATTCAGTCCTAAAGAGACTTTCCAGTGCCACAGCTTAGTTTTGGACCAACTCACTTTTGGACTCATCAAAAACAATAGACAGATAGACAAGATAGATAGATAGATAGATAGATAGATAGATAGATAGATAGATAGATAGATAGATAGATAGATAGATAGATAGATATAGATGGATGGATGGATGGATGGATGGATAGATAGATAGATAGATAGATAGATAGATAGATAGATAGATAGATAGATAGATAGATAAAAATGACTACCCTTGTACATGGTTAATTTTCCATAGTGTATAATCATACTGTACTTTCCTTCAATCTTGTCACATGGAACCTTAATTACATTATTGGAGCACTATCTTGTTGTATTGCTTTTCATATGATTTTTAAAATTTGGAGCCAATGTACTTTAGTGTTATATTTATTGACATGTTACAATTGCTATAATTGATGAAAGTTATTTATTTTATATTCTTCAATAATTTATTTAATAACTGAAAAAAACGAAATAGTAATAATTCACAAAATAGCTGTTGGATTATAATTCAAACATCTTGTTTTGATAAATCAAAACACAAGAAACGTTGCTGACTCTATTTTGGTTGCTGTTGTCATATACGAGTAATTGGTAATAAGGGAAGACAACTTTTACCAGAGCAATAGCAGGCTCCAGCTTTGAATTTTAAAATCTAAGTGGTCCTAAATGGCTTAGTTCCAGTCTATCTGAGGGACTACTTCTTCCATTATGAATTATGCAGCAACTGAGATCTGCAGAAATCCTTTTGAAGATGTTGCTCTGCATCAGAGAGTCACTTCTGGAGCGTATCGGAGGACCTTCTCATTCTTCATTCAGTCCAATGTACTTCCCAAGGCACTGTTTGATCTTATTCTCTCAGCATTTTGAAGAATTATAAAGACTACATTCCTTTCACTAGGCATTTAACAATTAATCCACTTATTTACTTATTTTTACAAATTTGGTATTTTTTCTACTCCCCATTTTAATTAGTAATGATTGCCTTGAGGCCTTGCTTGAATGGAAAGATAGGTTGTAAATCAAATAAACAAATGAGCAAACACTGCCTATGTCATAAGAATAGGATTAAGGGCAAAGAATTTGGCAGCACTGAGTGGCAACAGAGAAACATACAAAGCAAATGGCTCAGACATGGAACAGTCAAGAAATACCCCAGAGACTAGCAATTAGTAAAGCAGCTGTGAAGGCCTTGGAAAAGATAATTCAGATGCTGTGATGTGTCTGAACATACAAAGAATAGTGCAAGCAACGGAATTCCCTGTAATACTCTATGGAAGTGAAAGTTGGACTTTGAAAAAGCAGGATAGGAAGAATGTGGATATATCTGGACTCCCAAGAATACCATGGACAGCCAAGAAAGCAAACAAATGGATCATTGAACAAACCAGCCCATTTTTTAATCTGAAAACACAAATGAGCAGTCTCAAATTAGCCTACTTTGGACAGATTATGCAAAGACCTAGCTCTCTGAAGAAGAGTCTAATGCTGGAAAAGATGGAAAGAAACACTAGAAGAGAATGACCACCAGCAGGGTGGATCGGCTCAGTTATATCAGCAATGAGTGCACCACTGGAAGATCTGGAGGGCCAGATCGGGGACAGATTGTCATGGAAAAAAATCTATCTGTGTGATCACTAAAGTCCACACCAACTTGATGGCACATAATCAATGAATGGATGAATGAATGAAAGGCTGTAACAAAGAGAATAAATTTTAAATCTCATTGAGCATGACAAGGGCATGTATCTTGATCCAGAATGTTATTTTGAATTCCCCACATTGCTGCTAGGTTTATTTATTTTATAGGCTGTGATTACATAATATGGTAAATTGTAATGACTATAAATGTCACCAGGTTACTTCATGCATAGCTCTCTAAATAAGATTCGTTGTTACTGTGTTGTGTACACCTAAAACGAATAACATTTTGGAGAACTACAAATTAGACATTGTACTCTATAACAGACCTTAGAGACAAATGTTTCCAGACCTCCAAGATGGATGGATGGATGGATGGATGGATGGATATATATATATGTGTGTGTGTTTTCTGAGGTTCTCGCGGGTATTTGTACATGGATCTTTGGTTATTCGGGTTTTCTCCCGCGTAAGATTGGAAGTATCTAGGCAACGTTTCGATGAAGTCTCATTCATCATCTTCAGGCTTCTGTCTTCAGCTCTGTGCTTCTCAGAGTGATGTGAGCTTGCAGCTGCTTCTTCCTTTTAACTGCTATATATATATG